GAAAACATCAGATATATTTCCGATTTAAAACCACATACTGAAACGGCCTGGGTCGGATTAGAAAAAATCRGATTTKTCTCRTTYAGACTGTCATAAAAAAATCGGATATGAGTCAGACGGGTCAAAAAAATCAGATTCTGAAAACAAGGTAGAACTCGATGCCAAAATGTCAACTGGTGTGACTCTGCCTGCCCTGGTGTCTGCATTTAAAGCACTGGGCATGCAGTTTACCTGTTGACATCAATTTTTTGTAGTCTAAGAATTTTGAAACTATAACTGTGTAAACATGACTTCCTCTTTGATATGTACCATATCATTAATTTCAGTGACCAACCATTTATGTGTACAACAGTAGTGTGGAGAGACAGTGACAGAGAAAAGCAGAGGCACAGAGACAGGCCAGGTTGTTCTCTGTGTTTCCTGTTGTTGCAATAAAACTCAGCTGATCATCTCAGGGAGTACCTTCATTCTTGGACCACGTATTTCTGTCTTTGTTAAATAAATATTGCCATAACAACTACTGTATCAGGAAAGTTGTACTTCTGTCATTTCAACTAGTTCTGGTGATGCTACATGCTGTCTGGAGACGTAGAGAAAGAAATGTGATTCTCTTCACGTTACGGGAATAACAGAATACGCTGACAGCGGGAGGAGGGACCAGCTCCCAGTCGTGGTTGCAGTCACTCCGGTATCGGTCTGGTACCAGACAGCTAGACTGTGGGAACAGCTGATAGGTAAATGTTCGCTACGCAGAACTTATTCCGCAAACGTGTTTCCATCTCTCCTTTTGCGCATTGACTCTTTTCCAAAAACCACCTCAAGCGAGCGTATCAACTCTTTTCCGAATTAGGGGAAGTTTTTTCGAATCATGCCRTTTCCATTCACCTTTTCTGATGCAATATTTCAAAATGTGYATTAAAAACATTGATAGAAACACAGCTGGTGTCTCTGTCCTTATTTRTCTTGATTGTTTAATGTTTATTTGGTCCCCCATGTGATTAGTTACATGTAGGGACTTTACTGTCAACAGACCCACAGAAGAAGTGYGACAGACACGTCGTCTCACTGTGACTTTTAACACTGGTGTCAGTTACACAAGCACCACGGCAGGCTGAGGGTCAATCCAAAAACCAGAACCCTAAACCAGGCTTAGGTCACCATGTGTCATGGGAACTGCTACAAACTGCTCTCTGTTCTCTCCCCCACCCTCCTCTACCCCCTTAACTTAATTACAGAGCCTGTTTCTGGTCAGATCAGCTGTGACTCATCTGTTTCTATTTTTTTATATCTGGTTTCTGCCACTCGTCACATGATCATGAACTGCKTTGCACAGTTAGTTCAGCCAACTTACAAAGTCAAAGTACTAAAAACCTTAACTCAAGTCATTGCTAAGATGCTTTAATAAAGAAATAATGCTTACTGTCCAGGAAGATGTGGTACGGTTTGCTCCACTCGCTCCACACCGGAGGCTCATCCAGACTGGCACAGCGAGCCTGGATGGTGTAGTCAATGGTGGGCTTCAGAACCAGAGACAGGTTGGATTCTCCAACYACAGACTCCACCTGGAGACGGAGGACAAGAGATCAACACATACATGTGGGAGCACCACTTGGTATCAGCAGGTGGATACTCACCAGCCAGTCTGAGTGGGTGGTGTTGGAGGAATATCGGACTTGGTATCTCATTGGATCAGCACCAAAGTCTAAAGGGTCTTCCCAGGTKAGAATCAGTTCTGCCTCAATGGTCTGAATGTGGGACAGGTTGAATGGAGGATTTGGTTTTACTGTAAAAAAAAATCATGTTATGATATTAATAACACCATGACAGAATGAGATTCAACATTTTTTAAAAACAATAACTGTAACCGTCTGATTAAAAAAAACTGGAGCGTGTAAAATGCTCAGTCTGTCTTTCATTCTGTTCTCTCGCTTTAAGCAGAGTGTGTTTGAACAAAGAGCACGTAAAGTCCCCGTGTATCACTGTGGAGATCTCACAGCTTCATCGTGACCACACACACACACACACACACACACACACACACAC